CCTGTTGTTAACCCTGGACTCGTTCGGTACATGCATCAGCTGTTTTTGTTCCAATGCAGAAACATCGAGGACGTGCAGCGCAGTTTTAAATTATTACACACTTTTTACAATTTCTGTCATTTTCTGAGCGCCTCATTTTGGGACTTTTCCTCTCCTTCCATGGAAAATAGCACTTAGTATAACACTCATCAACAGTGTAACCGCTAGCGGAAGCGCTAATRTTGTAGCGTTGTGTAACCTTAATAGCATTCTGGCCAGCAAAAGTGTGCTGATTTTAACAGAATCTATTTTTTATGAAGCATCGAGGCAGATCATTTTTCTACAGGATTTTTAGTAATCGAATTACTCAAATTATTCGAGGAATCATTTCAGCCCTAAATTTTGAACTTCAGTACTTTGTTTTAGCGTTGTCTAGCTAGGTGACAGGACCTATGTCGAGGTAAGGGCCAGGAATAAAATTGAAGGCTAGACCGTCCAAATTCATAGCCACTTTCCTCTGGTCTTCGCGGTTGGCAAAGGACCCGGACCATCTAGACCAGGGGTGTCAAACTCCTGTCCTTGAGGGCCGCTATCCTGCATGTTTTAGAGGTTTTCTTGCTCCAACACACCAGATTTTGATCGCTGGGTAATTATCAGGCTTCTGCCCAATTTGAAGAGTTAATTCAATCACTGAATCAGGTGTGTTGGAGCTGGAAAACCTCTAAAACATGCTGGATAGCGGCCCTCGAGGACTGGAGTTTGACACCCCTGATTCTAGACCGAGTATGCCAGGTCCTTCGAAGGATACAGCCCCTGAATTGAACAYAACCACCACATCCTCCATTCTAAAGAGGATCTGCTTGTTATAACCCTGTTAAAAAAACAACCTGCATCTCTGGTGGTATGGAGGTACATTAGTTAGTAACACATTGACATTGTCTGCTCATAAGATGAGACAGATGATGGGGATGTCCTCAGATTTAATGATGAGTAAAAGCTCTTTGGGGTACAGCTGCTGAGTGTGACTGAGAAGATGTGAGGTTCAGTTTTAACTTTCTGTGGATTTTCGTTGAAGATGTCTAATCCAGGAGGAGATAAAGGAAGACATACTGAGCTCCAGCAGTTTTTTAAATACAGTGGGGTGCGAAAGTTTGGGCAGCCTTTGTTAATTTTCCTGATTTACCTTTATAAATCAWTGATTGTTTGGATAAAAACAATCAGTAAAATATATCATATAGGAGACAAACTGTGATATTTGAGATGTGAAATGAAGTTGATATAATTTCAAGGTTTCCCCTACGATTTTTTTAAACTGTGTGGTGTGGTGACCTCTCTTGTGG